TATCAAGTATTTTTATATCATTTTAATCGAACTCTTGGTTGTATTCGATTTGATGTGCATAAGTGGCAGAGTTAGGTTTTTTGTTTTTTCTGTATTCATTTATACGTATTTTAGTCGCTCGCATTGTCTCACCAACATAGGACACCGGGTAGTTTTTAGAGTACAACTTGTACATAACGTTCGTCTCTTCGAGATTTAAAGTTTAATATTTTCCCAAACAAATAATGCCATTGAGCTTATTATGTATAAGTGAGTATATGCGAATGTTGTGACGTTCCAAGAAGTCTGAGAGAGAGTTGTGAAATTTCTCAGGAGACTAGACGTGATTTTTCAAGCTACAAGGATCTCATTGATTTTTGGAGCGTAGGGCTCAGTTGTTGGAGGAAGCTCATTCGTCTTCGGCCCTGGCTGACTCGACAGCTAGCTCGCAGGTGAGTCGTAATCAGCGTGGTAAGGGCAAATCAATCTCTGAAAATCTGGTGCAGTGGGAGAATACAAAATCTCAAGCCTTATGCTCAATTCGTAGATGAAATGACCCTTTGTACAAATGCGCAAAATTTTTGGCTGTGTCACAATCACAGCACTATAAATAGATCAAGAGGGAAAAACTGTGCATAAATTGTCTTCAAGGCTCTTATTTTGCCACTAGTTATCCCTCTCATCTAAAGTGTGCGTTCTCGGAGGTAAACATCACACCAAGTTGCATTTCGATGCCTAATTGAGATGTTTCCGGTCCTCGTGACAAGTCTTCTGGATTGCTTTCAGTAGCTCGAAGGGTCGTGGAGAGGGCGGAGAAGTCAGGGAGATCAGAGTCAGCAGTAGATGTAAAGCCGAATAAAGTGGTATCGGCTAATTTTGCGAGTGTGAGTGGTTCTGTTCTGTTGGCAACGGCTTGCATTGTCCTAGCGAATGAGAGCGGTGATTTTATAGATGTACGTGCCTTTATTGATCCTGATGTGTAACGCAGTTTTGTTGTGGGAGACGTAGTTCAGAGGCTTGACATTCTAACGATGGGCTCTAGGTATTCGATAGTAGGATTTGTTGGGAGCTGCGTCAAGTGCAGTCTCGGAGGCGCTGGTTGTGATTTGGTCGCTTAACAGGCGTATTCTCTTTAAGGTCGTAGCTATTATGATGAAAAATCTTACGCGTTATATACCAGCTACCAGAATCATACTTGCTGAGAGGCCTCATCTGTCTGTTCTCTCTTTGGCCGATCCTCACTTTCATAGGGCCAACTCTATAGATTGTATTCTCATCAAGTTTTATGCTTGGTGGATTAATTAGAGGTCCAGAGGGTTATCCTTTAGCTCAGCATACTATTTTTGGTTGAATCTTGACCAGGGGGATTTCTGTTGAAAATGCTACTGGTGAGACGGTCAGTGTATTTCACGCATTGATCGAGCCCTCCATATTACAGCTACTCACTAAGTTTTGGGAAGCTAAGGTAGTCGAGACTCCGAAGCCTCTGTCGCCAGAGGATTCTTATCGTGAAAAGTTGTAAAGTTGTTTAAAGCAACCCGTTCTCGTACGTCAGAAGGCAGATTTGTAGTTCGTTTGCCTTTTGGAAAAAACCGGTATTTACTGATACAAAGGATATTGCCACCGCTTGTTTAATTCTCTCAGAAAAATGAAAGAAGAGAGATTCTCAGTTGTCTCAGGCTTATGAAAAATTTTCGAATAAGTATCTGGAATTGGGACACATGGCTTTGGATCCGACCGAGTTCAGGTGTCGTGATAATTATTACCTTCCTCATCACGCGGTGGTTTCTAAGGATAACTTAAAAAAAATCCGGGCTGTAATTACTGCCTCTCAGAAATCATCAAATGGTTATTTCTTGAACGATCTTCCGTTGCCATGACCAAAACTACAGGCTGATATTGTAAAGATAATAACCAATTGGCGTTTTTAAAGGTTTAGATGTGTAATTGAAATAATGAAAATGTTCAATTAGATTCTAGTGCATGCTGAGGATGTTGACTGGCAGCGCATCGTCTGGAGAGAGAATCCTGCTGCACCGATCCAGAATTTTAGGGCACTCACCGTTACTTATGATACGGCTTATGCTCTTTATTTGGCTCAAAGAGTGTTGAAGCAGTTAGCCAGCGATGGAGGCTTATGCTCTTTATTTGGCTCAAAGAGTGTTAAAGCAGTTAGCCAGCGATGGAGGCAAGCGTTCCCGGAGGCTGCTGAGATTCTTCGGCACTAATTTTATATGGATGACGCCTTTGGAGATGCAGATAACGTCAAGAAGGCCATCAATTAACGCTATCAGCTCATTCAACTGCTGGGCTTGGCAGGTATGGAGTTGGGTAAGTGGGAAGCTAACGATAAAGCTCTTCTCCAGGGAATTGATTCGCTGTCAGACTCCGAGGTGAAGGTAAGAGTTAACGAAGCTGTTTCTGCGTTTGGAGTAAAATAACATCCAAGATATGATTTCTTTCATTTTAAAGTCGAGTCGATGTCTGTAGCAGGGGTTCTTTCCAAACTCATGATCCTTCTGAGATAGCTAGATTGTTTGACCCTTTGAAGTAGTTGGCACCAGCTCTAGTGGTTGCTAAGACTGTGTCACAGCATCTTTGGATCATTAGCAGCGATTGGGACCAGCCAGCGCCAAGAGAGTTGGAGGACAGATTGACCCGTTTTCAAAACTCGAACCACGATGGTTGGGAACCAGTTCGAATGTCCGTTGGCAGCTTCACGGGTTTTCGGATGCTTCTAAGGAAGCCTACGCGGCTGCTGTCTACTTGGTGATTCGAGGAGTCTTATCGACTCTTCTGCTGGCCAAGATGAAAGTTGTGCCTGTCAAGGTTCAGACACTGCCCCGGCTGGAGCTATGTGGAGCCTACTTGTTGGCTTTCCTTGCTGAATTCATTTTGGCACATTTGTGGACGGGCCCAGAGTCCATTCATTTCTAGATGGACTCAAAAGTTGTTCTACATTGGCTGGATTCCCACCCATCACGTTGGCAGACGTTTGTTGCCAATAGAGCTAGTAAAATTGTTTCTCTGCTCCCTCAGGCTTGTTGGATTCATGTCCGTTCGGAGATCAATTTATTGGACTGCGTGTTTAGAGGGATTTCGGCGATTCAGTTGAGGACACACGACCTGTAGTGAACAGGGCCGTCCAGGCTTATAGTGCCTGAAACTGAGTGGCCCACTTAGTGCACTGTTCTGGGTATTGGAAACCAGTCTGATGAACCCATTGTCGAGCAGCGGGCCAGAAAAGTTACAACATGCACTGCAGCAGCTAAAGAGAATTGAGGAGTTTTGGGGGTATCGGAACAGCTGTCGTCTTTTTTAAGGGTACTTCAAATGCTGTCATATTGCGCTCGTTGATGGTCCAACGCTCAGAGGCCCAAGACTGAGCGAAATTTTGGATGTTTGTCGTTGCGAAATTACGCGTAGGCCACTGTGGCTTGCTACCAAGCCATTCAAGATTATCATTTTTTGTGAGCCATCTGCCTTCGAGTGATTAAAAATGCATGAATTTTGTTTTGATTCGGAACTATGAATCCTAGTAAACTTTTTTTAAATGAACTGTTGAGTTTAAATTTTCTTCCGTTCATGAAATTAAAAAATGATGTTGGTTGATTGTTAATGTGATTCTTAAGCGTAACAAAGCGTATTACAATATTATTATTCTTTGTTAATTGTTTATTTAAATGATGATTTAGTAACAAGAAAGTCTTATAAAGTATTTTCTTGTTTTTAAATTCAATATGTTAAATTATGTAGTTTACTATTCTCGATGAGATTTTTTTTTATCAGACTTAAATTGTAAACAGTAAGAGCACTCTTTTTTCTTTTCTTTGTTAATCTAATGGTTGATAATGTATTGGTTGCTGCATTGGGAGTCAGGAAAGTGGCCCGTTATGTTAAAGTTAAAACTGAGTTTTCCGCACTTCAAGGCTGGCTGTTATCTTTTAGGGTTTGAGGGCATAGGGCCGAAAACTGCTGGGTTCACTGTTTGCGACTGTATCGAGAAATCTTATTTGCCCCTCTCCCTGCGATCAGTCAACGTCTCTCTTAGCCATGTAGAAAAAATATTTATTACAATTAATATAACTTCTGTATGGTTGAGTATGTGTTGTTGAAAGATAATGTGAGAAATATTCTTGACAAAAAAAATGTGAAGTGATTTTAGTGGGTGTATAACTCATACACCTATATAAACGGCATTGGCTCAGCGTGAAGCGTGCTTGTTACTGATACAACGCTGTTCTAGAGGTCGTGGGTTTAATTTCCGGTGAATGCAGATTTAAAAAAAAAAAGTTTTCATCGGGAAAAGTTCTTATGTAACCGTGGCTGTTTCGTGGTGGGTTCTTCCGTGGAATTTTCCTTCAGAGTAATTCCAGAGTTTTTTTCTTGCCCCACAGGTCTTCGGGCCTGGGTAAATGCGAAACATCGTTATGGCTGTAGATAGGGGTTAGCGGATCCAATGCGCCAGGCAGGGATCGCCGGCCTTACCGGCAAAGAGTGGTCCCTGAAACATGGGGCTTCTCCAGGGATGCTCATGCAATACACCGTTGGTGCAGAGAATGTCAGCTTAACTGGCAAGGTTTTTCACCGGAGATACTCGCACTATGCCCATGGATTAGGTATAACATCAGTAAAAGGGTTGGAAAATGGGTGTGGAAATACACCGCCACACATACGTAGTGAGTGGGTGGCCCCGGTGATTTGGCCTAAGAGCTGCCGCGGTAACCCAGTAAAAAAAAAAAAAAAAAAAAAAATAACTCATACGCCTATGACAAAGTTGAGCAAAATAGCCTCCATGCTGCTACAGGAAAAAAAATGACGTCAAATTTTATGTATCTGACGATCCAAACAACATGTAATGGTTTTCTTGTTCGACTTTTTGTATGGCGTATGAGTTATACACCCACTAAAATCACTTCACTTATTTTTTTTGTAGTCAAGAAAATTTCTCACATCATTTTTTAATAGCACTTGCTCAACAATACAGAAATTATATTAATTGCAATGAATATTTTTTTTAGATTTGGCATCGTAGAAGTCACCAGTTATCCAGCTAGCGTTGCAGAAAATCACCGACTAGAGCGCTTGCTGTCTTACTCTTATAGCGAAAAAGCGTGGCAAGACTTGACCATTCAGCTTATTCTATCGTTTGATCTGTGACAAGTAAGTCTTAACACTCACGAATTCTCTCGTACCTGAGGTTATTGTGTTCGTATTTTCAAAATTGTAATAAACATTATATCGTAGTGCGAATGTAACTAAAACAAAAATTTCTTGTAGCCTGATAAGGCTGACACATGGTGATTCCGTGAAAAGAGTTTTCAACAATTTAAAATATGCATTTCTGAACGAGTTATAGTAATTTGTATTCCCAAAAGCATTTTTTGTATTGTATACCTTGAGATATCTAGGCTGGACAATAAAAACTTTGAAAGCAAATCGATGGGATAAAAGTGTGCTAATTAATGCTTTTTGTAAGCATCATTTTTAGTGATAAGACCTGAGCGAATTTCAGAACATGATTATTGATTTATGTAGATTTGTAAATCATAGAATACTACAAAAAATTCAGATCATGCATTCTGACGTGTATTAAACATCACATTTAAACACTCTTTAAAAAAGTTAGAATAGTGGGGGTCGGCGCATAGAGCAAACAGTGGGTTTGAACTCCACAAGTATTTTCCTATAATATGTAGTGAAGGATCGTTCAACACATTTACTCCTATACCACCACTGCATTCCTCCTCCTCCTCCTCTTCCTTTAAATAACATAAAATGCTCTTAATTTTATTTTATTTTAATTAAGTTAAATATTTTTTTGCCCTTTTTTAACCACTCTGTACCCTTTCTCAGCAAAGTTTATCAATTTATGGTCCCTCCTCAGTCCCCACGTACTATAAGGTAAAATAAGGTTCGTTTATCTTTGATTTTATAGGCTAACAATTTTTGTTAAATCGCCTCTCAGTCTCTTTTTCTTATTTAACCCCTTTCCCTTTACATTTCAGCTTATCCCATCGCATGCTCTATGACACTTATTAAGCCTGGCTTTAGCCTCCTATACTGTAAGATGAAACCATCATAGTTGGGTTGGTATTTTATCAAATTAAATTTCTTGTTTTATATTCTCAGCCATACACCGTATTAAAGAAAGTTAATTTGATGTAAGAAAGAATTTTTCTGTTATTTCGTTTTATTATACAGATTCAGTACCTCTTCATTATTCTAAAGTTTTAAAACAAAGTCTTATTCTTACTAGCACTATATAAATAACTACAATTTTTTTGTTAATTTCATTCGATTAAAGTGAGACAGTTAGTTACAATTTTATTTTGTTTCTCAATTTATCAACAAATTGACAATTTTATATTGAGGCATTGCTGTTGATTGCTGGTTATTGTCTTTATTTCCAATAAATTTACCGTTTGTGTTAAATAATGAGTAATAGTTATCTAACTTTATCATTCAATAAATACTGTACCTTTTGTGGACTGAAATCTTACGCCCCCTGATGGGCCGCAAAACTAGCATTATGTCTAGCTATTTAGTTATTTACTTAATAAGAAATACAAAAGAGAGAAGCTATGTGCGTATTCAGGTATTAAGAGAAATTAAATTGATTTACTCTCATTTTAGTAATATAATTAAACTTGTTGTAATTGATTACACATTCATTTACCTTATTTTTCTTTCCTTTCTTACTTGTGTAGAATAATGTATCTTTTTGATTTTTTATAACAATGTATTTTGTTATGTTGTTATCCTTGCTTTCGTTGTATACTTATATTTAGTTTCACGTTTACCAGGTGCAATCTTATGAGTGTTTGATAAAATTCTACCTTTATTTTCTTCATTTTTATGTAGCCTTTATTACATGTATACTAATATTAATAATAGTGATATCAGGCTACATATAATGAATTTACAAGTAGTACACTTGACAAAATTAATCCACAAAAACCAGAACTACTGTTTTACATAAGATTTTGATTTAAATAACGAAAGTAATTTTTTTATTCATAAAATTTATAAACTAGAAAGTAATCTTTGTCAGAATTTTGAAAAAATATGCTAGATTTTTTTAGAGCCACCTAACGTTAAACTACCTTGCCAACAAATACATGTTAACTACTATTTCCAGTAACGATTCATTGACTAGAAGACTATATGTATAAGGCCTGTCACTATTAAACCAAGTCAGTCATTCACTGGCAGACATCACGAGCAGAGATGTTCATCGCAAGGCTGGGAATCCCGGCGACCGATGACGTTATTTTATCCTCTCAACTCTAAGCATTCAACCAAGAATCATCAATAATCTCCAAAGTCTGCTCTGGGCGAATCTAACAGCTATAAAAGAAAAACAAACTTCAGGAAATGGGGCAATCTCCAACGGGCAAGCCTTACGAACCAATCTCCCCATCTTAGATCACCAAAACAACTGAGCTCTGCAAAAAAAAGGTGCTTTAGACACTAACGTCTCTGGTACAACACCAAGAAACGTTAGTGAAGAACTCTACAACTAGCTCTAACGCTTTAGACGATTATTGTAGTCTTCCTCCCGATCAGTCTGGCGCTACAACAGCAGGCCAAAGAAGATTACCCTAAGGTATTCATGCAGTCACATTTGCTGGAAACTTCAGTCAAGAAATAGTTTAACCCTCTGATCCATCTTAGGGCCATCGGTCGTTGAACTACCTTGGCAACATATACATTGTAACCACACAAGGTTGACAAATAGTACATTACGTACGAGTTTGCAAAGGCTTCGATTTACGAACCGAGAGGTTTACGGCACGAGCCGAAGGCGAGGGCCGTAACAAGGTTCGTAAAGAAGCCTTTTCGAACGAGTTTCGTATAATATTTTTCCGCCTGAGAACTCAAAATCAAGCGGCGAAGGTGCTATTTTGAGGTTAGAAGGCGGAAAAAACAGTTTTTAGGGCTCATGTAAGCTTTAACCATGCATATAGTCACAAAACAGTGAATTGGAAAGAAAATTTCAAATGCTTCAAATAATTAAAATTTTTGACGTCAAGAAACTGACGCAGAACATTCATCGAGATTGAAACAGCAGCGTTAAAATCAACAAATAAGGAATTCATTTCTTGAGAGATTATAATTCTATCACAACGTTTACAGTAGTCACTTAAATTTTCGAGATTATTAAATAGGTAGATTGTTTTTAATAAGAAGACTTTTGTATTGAGAAGTGTCAGGAATATATGTAGAATTTTTGATTAAAAACGTTTTACATTACGTGTCAAGACACTTCGGTGTTCTGTTCAGTGAATCTTGGGCGAAGGAGGGGTCACTAGTGTATTATACATAGATAGTGTCCGATACTCATACTCACGTGCCGTAATAAAATCCAAAACTTTAAAAACGTCAAATTGTGTTAAATGTTGTTGACTTTACTTGACATACTATCTTATACCAATATATTGATCCCTTGATTGAGATAATCGATCATTTAGAGTAAAATTTTCCATTCCGATCCATGTCCCCAACTCAATTTCACTCATGAAAGCTGTTACCGGTAAATAATAAGTGCTTATACTTATGCCAATTGGGCGTGGAAGCATTATATACTCTAGCTAGTGGTAATTAGATTTGTACCTTAGTCACACCAAAAATTGATAAAGAGGAGTGAGTTTTCACTGTATACATTTTGTCCACATATTTGCACCGTAATCGTGGTTTTAAAAAAAATCAGTTTAAACTAGTAATTTTTTTGGAACGGAAATGCTAACCAATGATTACTTTTTAAAAAATAGGAATAAATAAATCCTTATGACAGTAGTACCTGAAGTTGTTACCTCTCGAATATCCAAGCTCTTCTTTTTGCGTATTTCGCATGTACAAACATTTCATTCCGTTCCGACGCCCATGGAACAACCACTTGGTGCTCGTGTGCAGGTACGCAAACTACAGTTTTTCATTACATTTGAGGCTAGTAAATAAATTATGGGTGGACAACTTATTGTCATACGTCTATGAGTCGTACGAGCACTACAAACATTGAAAATTCCATTCCGAACTTTTCCATTCCGACTCTACCTCACCTCAAAGTGCCGTTTTTTTTTCCTCTTAGAGCAATCAATCCCAGCTAAACTTTTTTTTCATCTCTGTTGGGCAACAAGATGAGACATATGTCTCGGGGTTTTAGCCAATTGGCCCTTTTTCGCTACATAAATGCAAAAACGGTGTTGCTGCGTCTAACGTTGATAGCCAAGTGGTGCACTTCATTAGGTGATTTTATCTGGGCCTAAATGAAAGCAAAAAAAAAGTCCTAATGATTAAAAAAAAAATCTTTAAATTTTATTTTGCGAATGAGAAGTTATAGCGNCTTCACAGGCTGCGGGACAGCAGATAGTCCAACTATTTGTTTGTTTAAAAAAGGAAGGAAGAAGTAGAGAGTTGAATATAATATCCAGGTTAACTTACCTTTCTTTCCACTAGAAAGTAATACTGGCAACTCTGCTTTAATTATTAATTCGGATGACCAATTCGGATGACTTGTACTTCTTCTTTTCGTTGGATTTATAATTATTTATTTTCTAATGAGTAAAAAAAAAATCTTTAAATTTTATTTTGCGAATGAGAAGTTATAGCGATTTTATGAAAAATACTGAATTTTGGCATAAATCACATTATTAGTGATATTTACGCTCTAATTAAACAGCTGTAACTTTTAAATGGAGGCACAAAATTGAACAACTTTTTTTTTTAATCAATAGGTCTTCATCCCAGATTTCATTTAAGCCCAGTAAAAACACTCAAACTGTTGAAGAAGCTTAGCTGTACCTGCTAGAAAGTGATACAATTTTTCGAAAATCGATGAAGGCTGACTTTTATAAAATTTCGTTTAACTTTTGACCAGCAAATTTTATAGTTTCATCGCTTTTAATGTTTATTACTGATGTTGTGTACAGTAGAAATACCATGAAAAAAAATTTTTTTAACCATCTTCTTTTAAAAAATTTTTTTAAGTCGATCTGAGTAAGTTACGGCAGAATCACCCATATATATATGCAAAACTAAGAAAGTGACAATTAATGATGTATGAAAACATCGAAGATTTTCTTATTATTTTTACTATTAGCTTTTTTTTTCCTTTGTCCAAGGTCATCCAGAATGTCTTGATGCACGAATAGAAGGGGTAT